TAATAAATATTAAATAACCTTGTCGATGATATACGATTCTAAGAAGGTAGTAAGTCCCTCTTTTAACCACAAGTAAGACCACCAAATTGGAGTAACCAAATTGAACCATTGATGTATAAGTTCACGTGTTACTATTTTTGCTACTTCTACTTTCTTATGTATTACATGTTTATTATCATTATAGATAGCACGAAATTCACTGAAACATAGAATAATATAATTATGTAAAATACTCCTCTTATGAATACGTAGTCTAACATATTCCTGAATAATTACACTATTCTTAATACTGTTTTTTTAATTATTAAATTAAAAAAAATTATTAAATTTTATTTAAAAAAGAACGTTTGCTATATAGCTTTAATAATGTCATTAACTTCTTTTTAAATAAAATTAATATTACTTGTAAGTGATGAGTCCCCAATGTTCCATACCGTCAACCGGAAAATTTGGTATCAAAACATGATCCATTTTCACTATCTCCTCGGATTTATTGGTATATTGAATCATAAATGGCACGACTTTTTCAGCAATATTGTAAAGAAATGTTACTTGCGATAACAAAGACAAACTACACCATATATTGACAGTCTGGTTATAGTTGGAATGATGGTAAAAATCACATTTGGGGATTACAACGATCGCTACAAGATAAGTGGGCATTGGAGAAGTAAAGTCAAAACATGTCTGTATCATGTCATCTTTTCCCGTCACTTGCTTTTGAATTTCCATATTTGACAATACCAAGTATTTCTGATTATGCATTACAGAGATGTTGAAGATGGTTTTCAATTCTGGCTCGTCCCAACACGGAAACATTTGTCTGGCTCCATTCAGTTCGAAATATGTTGCAGCCATTCTATAATTTAACTCTAGTTTACATACTGGGATCTCAGAAATTTCAATGTAATTTGCTAAATCGAAATTTTTTTGTGTTTCTATACTTTTCTTTTTCTTTGAACCTATGTACTACTGAAAAAAATCATGTCACAACGTTACATGATGAAATAATGTAATTAAAACATGTAAATCACGTAACGAATTGTTCCAAATCAGTATGTGATTTTTTAAAATAATGTAATTTGGAAAATCACATGATTACAAATAATTTCCATCATGTGATTTTATTTATAGTTATTAAATTTTAAAGAATTGAACGATAGATATAGAAGAAAAAAGAACATAACATCATGTGATTTTCCAAAATACGTAATTTTTAAATTACGTACTGATTTGGAACAATCCGTTACATTATTTACATGTTTTAATTACATGATTTTATCATGCAACTGTGTGACGTGATTTTTATAGCGATATATCTCGAAGTTCCTTAATTCTATCGATTTTTACACATCATGGACTTATTCCTTAATTAATTCTCCTTTGATCGCCAAAAAAAAAATTAAAATATATCCATTTTTGCGGCAGTTACGGTAACAAACATGGATGGGAACCCAGAGACCCGAATGTATATATTAAGGATAAAAGAAATATATATATAGCTAAGGTTAAAGTTAAAAATATCTTAAATGTCGACAAATTTTCTGCTCATGTCAGATTTACATTGTAAATATATTTTTCATATTTTGATATTAACTTACATGCCGTTTTTTTCTTCTTCATTTGTGTACGGAAATTTCATAAAACCTCTGTTTGCAAAATCAGTCTCAATTATAATGCCGGAAAATTTCATATTAAGCCTATAAATTCCCTCAAATAATGTATTCTCAAAATGGAGTGTTAAAATATCCGTTACATTGTCATAAAAATGTTTTATTGGTTTATAAAATGTATGAAACTCGTATTCAGCCAATGTTGTCTCTATTTCATTTATTTCTAATCCTCTTGAGTGTAAGCTTATGTTTTTCGTTGCACGATAAATTATGATACCGACGTTAGATTCACCATAAAAGACAGGATTGATTTCCTCGAGATGCGGTATTATCAGATCAATAGTATAATGAAGTGGTTTCGTATTGTTGGGTAAACGAATCATTTTTAAATTATCATTCGAACAAAAGACTATGTTTATGGTCAGTATTATACCAAAACTTATTAGTAACAACTTTAGGAATCTCATGACAATACTTATTTTACGTATCTGCGATTTTTAATTAAAAAGAAAAATAATTATAATAAAATGCCTCCCAAAATTGTTATAACATAATATTTTAAACATAAAAATAAAAAGAGTAGAAAAAAATAATTTTAGCAACTTTTATTAAGAGATAGATAAGAAATAAAATCATATATATATATATATATATATATATATATATATATAAAAGGTCGTGTCAAGATATATAGGGTGTCTCATATATAACAACTGCATTAGTTATCTGGGCTGGTGGAGCAGATCAAACTGATAAAGCTCACTATCATTTCTGCAAACTGCATAATAACTTAATAATTTCTAAAGATCATTGAATAATCGCAAATCCACCCTTGGTTTGCTGCACCAAGTATATACTTATCAGAGAGCGGCGACAATAATGGCTGCGTTCAGCGAACTCAACAGTTGAGTGAGTGCTCGCTGTTATATTCTATTAGATCATTCAATCAGCATTTTAGATCTGGAAGAATACATCAAAAAACCTCGCTATCAAACCCGATATCCATGATGCTAGAAATTGATCCGAGATCTCGAACAGAGACAGAATTAACAAATCACATTTGAGCAATTTGATTATATGATCATTGCGATTGATCAATTCTTTCTTTATCCGAGGTCTCAGATCGATTTCTGCCATCGTGAAAACACAAAGCTTAAGAGCATTCTCCGAAAAAATCAATTTTTTTCTTTAGATTTTTTTGAAACTTATAGAAAAAGTTTTAATATCTTGAATATATGTGCTTTAAAACTCAATATCCGGAGCGGGATTAAAAATCGAGATATTCCACTTCAAAGTTGAAGTGTTTAACATAGGATCCCTATCTAAAGCTTATTCGAAAGTAGTCTTTTTATTCACTATAAAAATAGTTCTTCTTAACAATTTTTGGAAACAATGGGATATAACTTGATATCACAAGAAATAATATGAAATTTGTCTGAATATGGCTTCCAGTATTCGTTTTTAAGAAATCATTAAGCAAAGTAAATAGCAAAGTAAGCAAAGTCGCTATTTTTTCGATCGGCGGCAGTAGCGAAGGCGGGAGGCGTTTTATATTGTATAAAAAAACTTGTATATAAACATTAATACTTATGGAATATCTTATACTCAGGGCTCGGTAAAATAACCGATACTACTTATTTAAAATAAAAAATAAGTTTCAAAAACTCATTTAAAATATAAAATCGTAAGAGTCGGTAAAGTAATCGATACGACTTATTTGAAATAAAAAATATAAAATGAGTTCCAAGAACTTATTTAAAATATTAAATAAGAAATAGGTCACAAGAAATTATTTAAAATATAAAAAGAAGAAGAAATAAGACTCGAAAATATATTAATTTATTTAAAATATAAAATAACTTTTATTTAAAATAGAAAAATAACTTTTCTTTTATTTTAAATAAGTTTTCGAAGGCAATTTTTTATTTTAAATGAAAAATTCTTTCTTTAATTCTTTCTTTTAATCCAACGTTTCAAAGCATTTGTAGTGAGACTTTGACCACAGCTGCATTTTCATGTTGAAAACGCTTGACTCTCATTTTCAGCGTCAAAACAGATCACGTGATCAAAATTGACGAATACCAAGCATCAATTTTCGTTCGAATCGAGCGTTGAGCGTCAGCATGAAAATGCAGCCTTAAGCTACGTTTCAAAACTTCCTCTTTGAAGAAAATTTTACTCGAAATATTTAGTACACATATTATATACTATATAATATATAGAATAAAATTTTCCTCAAAGAGGACATTTTAGAACGTAGCCAGAGTTATGTAGTTATACTGTGACGTAAGCCTTAAGCAGCCTTGAAGTAAGAACGGACTATGAATACACCGCCCTAAATAATGGTAATTGCAATCGGTCGGTAAGTTAATAAGTTTCCCCGTTGGATAACGACCAAATTTACCTACAGCCACAATGATTCCATAGCAATCGCGCGGCACTGTCACCGGGGCCAATGAGATCAAGGCGGTGCAAAATCCACTACGTGGTACCGTTGTGTCACGCTCCTGTCCAGCGTTATCACGGGGAGGCGACACCGGGGTGTCGCGGTCGCGCGTGGTCTCCGATCCCTTCGTGAAGACGCTGTCAGCAGCGAGAATGACGTCCCGTCACGAAAAGGAGCGCGCCAAGCAGATCCAGGAGAAATGTCAAAATCTGCTGACGCAGATGCTTCGCGATGAGGATAACAAGTATTGCGTCGACTGCGACGCGAAAGGTTTGTTTCTCAACCCCCCGACATGAATGCACCGTTCATTCGCTTCCCCTTCGGGAAGTCGTCCTCGATGAATCCTTCGTGTGTGTTCTTTGCTTTGTGATGTCCAAGTGCGCTCGTTCCTAGATTCGACTCGTCGATATTGATCACGAAACCTATGCAACGCGTCGTATTCTGTATAATGCACTGAGATGTTATGGATTTTTAACTTCTGTATGACATACCTATTAGCGCACTGTCATTCGATAACATCGTCAAGGTCCTTACAAATTTTATGTTCATTTCACTTATCATCTCAAAAATCAAAGCATGAGCTCATTTGTATGTCTTTCTTCTTTTAAGATTCATGAAAAAAAATGCCTCTATTATATGACTTGATTTTGTCATCGAAATATTGAGAACTTATAATTAATAATCATGAATATTAGATAGATCAACAAAGCATTTTCATTGATAGGTTTTATCATTGTATTTGTGTCGAGTCTAAGCGAAGTCTCTATGCTTGAGAGATAAGAATTATTTATGATATTTTCGATGAATTTGCATTTTGCAGGACCAAGATGGGCTAGTTGGAATTTGGGGATTTTCTTGTGTATTCGATGTGCTGGTATTCATAGAAATCTTGGAGTACATATAAGTAAAGTTAAATCTGTTAATTTAGATACATGGACGCCGGAACAAGTTGTGGTATGTAGCAGACATATGATTCATAGTTTTTAACAAAGGATGATTTTGTTTATTTGTTAAATTTTTATATCAAAACAATTAAAAATGTATACTCATCAATTCTGAAATATAATTAATCTTTTACAAAGAAATGGATGTAAATAATTTCTAATATTTGCTTTTCTATGGAAAAATTTTACTTTTTTTATTTTTATAATTTTTTTGTATCACATCTAAGATTATTTTTCTTATAAGCTTCATATTTGAATATTTTCTTTAAGCTTTACATATATTTTTTAAATCCAATTATATAATGAATATAATCTTGTTAAAATTTCTAGAGTTTACAACAAATGGGCAATTCTCGAGCTAGAGCAGTCTATGAAGCCAATCTTCCAGATAGTTTTCGAAGACCTCAAACGGATTGTAGTCTGGAAAGTTTTATTCGGGCAAAATATGAACATAAGAAATATATAGCTAGAGAATGGGTGCCACCTCCCTTACCAAAAGTATGTGATTAATTTAATATTTATCTTATAAATATATTTATATACCAGACATGTCCCTTTCCAAGTTTGCTGAATTTTATATGTATAATAGTTCAATAAATTTATCAAGTTTTACGACAAATTTATATAGTGATAATGTAAAATTTTTTAACACGCTTTTCTCTTATAAAATTTATCTAAGTAGAGGGAGGCTACATTTGGTGTTCCTTCCAACACCAGACATTCTTTCCAACATCCGCTCCAATTTGGCTGAATTTAATATATATAATAATATATAATAGTTACTGAAATTATGCATGCTTTTTAAGTATTCATGAAAAAAAACGTTAAAAAATTTTACATTCCTATAACAAGAAAATTTTTTAATGTATTTTTCTCATAAATGCTTGAAAAACGCGTTCTATAATTTTAGGATGAAATAGTGGGAAGGTTAAATCATATCTGGTTAATTCCTCTTATTAATATATAATTTTACATATAAATATA